ACAATTCTGCTACCGCAATAAGCAATGGCCTGTAAACAGGTAGCATCAGCCAGAGTCAAAGGCAGTTCCAATGGGATGCCTAAAGTGGCTGGTGAGACAAGGAAAGGGTGGATGATGGGAAGTTGAGTGAGATGTGTTGGTATTGGAAGGAAAGGAAGACAGAGCTCCATGTGAGTGATTGTGCATCAGATTGAGACAACTAGACGATTGTCCAAGGACAAAATGTGGAAGAAGGAATCTCCAGAGGAAAGCCGATCAATCTAAGGGAGTTTGATCTTGTTTCTCCTGTCAAAAGAAACATATTCGAGTGTTTTCATTAGTCTTTATAGACTCACTTTTTCAATATTTCATTGGCCATTCACAGCCCACTTCTGTTGATTTCTGTGTAAATAATTATCAAATCTTCAAGGGTGTGGCTTTGGGAGGTAATTTAAGAACTTGTGATTTTCAAAATAACCACAGCAGTGCAATAGCAACACAAAAGTGATAATGCTGTGTTTTGTTTTGCTTTGCGGTTACAAAATAATGGAAACAGTCGTTCCTTTGCATTCTCTTCTTCCTTCATATTTTCCTTGCCACTTTCCTACAAAAAGAAACAGGTGTTTTCTTTTGGATATGTTCCATTTGTCTTGATTTGTTTAACCATCAACAATAGTTGGCGCAGAAGGAGAAAGATACAGCTATCCCCTTGTCCAGGTGTTTAGCTACATGTTTAGCTACAAGTGTTTATTTCTCTCCTGAATGCATGCATTTGTGCTAATTTAACTGCTAAGTGGAATAAATATCCAAAACTAAAACCAGAGGAGTGATAAAGTTGATGCACAGTTTTAGAATGTTAAGCACTGGTAACCAATTCACTTAGATTTAGACACGTTTTATTTCTACAAATGTCATACTGTATAATGTTGTGTAATTAGAACAGGAAATCATTGAGTAAGTGAGGAATGAATAAGAGTACTTAGGCTGAAAGGAAAATTACCTTCTGAGAAATTATATTCACACTCCACACCCCCATTCTTGCTTCACACGATAATGTTGGTAGTGATAGAAACTGATGCAAATTTTCTTATCTGTAGTACATTGTTCTGCTAGGTTCTTCACAAGCTTACATCACACACACACACACACACACATCTTTTTTAAAAATTCCTTTTTCAAAAAATGAATGCACAGAATTTACAAAGTGCCTAATTAGAATCTGGAATTGTGCCTTGCAGCAGAACGACGACGACATGGAAACACCAATGTAATTATTGGTACCTCTGAAAGCTGGAGGCATGCCAAGTATTGGAAGCTGCTCTAGTTTGGTTGCTAGCATGTGATCAGGCTGGAGCAAAGTTTAGAGAAATACGTAGTAAAACATCCAAAGATTATACCGTACAAACCTCCTCTAGAACTGAGCTGCCTTAGATCAATCTTCGATTGGATGCTCTTTGGATCTACACTCCGCAGCAGAACTAATTAATATTAAGCCGAAGTGGCTAAGTAAACAGCGTGTCTGTCTTTGAAGTGGTGGAGTTAACAGGTGATGCCCCACCAGCGGGCAGAAGAGATTCCCAGGAGCACCAAGGCAGGGCAAGGTGCCCTCATGAGTTCTCTCCTTCCATCCACTTCTTTCCAAGGTGTCTCATAAGAGTCTCTCGCAGGCCTGCCTGGAAACGTTTGAGAGCTTCTATATGCAACCTCAGTAGGCAGCTGCCACCAGCCCTCCTAAGCCCTTCCGTACGGTCTTAGGTGCAGTGAACGAAATGCCAGAAATGAAAACAATAAACACACACCCAGACCCCACAAGCAGGATAAGAAAGCAAGAACACACCTGTCTTTTCTCCTCAGAAAAGGGGAGACGACGTTTCAAAAATAGCTCTTCTAAGAGAGATTTGGAATCAGTTAAACAAAAAATTGCTTCTCCTGGCATTTGGACTAATGCGATTAAGAGAACGAAAGGGTAAAATTCCTGGCAGATTTCTGCAGCTGGGTAATTAGGTACAGGAAGGGACATGCCTAGTTTTCCATCCAGCTCTACAAAATCCCGATGCAAAGATTATTTGTGTGTGTGTGTGTGTTTGAAAAGGGGAAAAGCTCAGCGATGTTAAAACTGGATTTGGTGGTTAGCCATAATCATTGGAGTGTGGTGTTTCTGAAGCCCAGCAGGACAAGCTCCTTTTGTGTGTTTCTGTGTTCCGTTGAAAGACTTTTTGATCTTGAAAGTCAGTTTGAACCTTAATGGTGAGGGTTGGACTTTCACCTGAAAGTTCAATTTCTGCTTCCAGGGGCGACTAGTGTAAAACCATTATTTTCTCATGGTGATCGAAATCGAGAAAAGGTAGTTGTCCACATAGCCAGGGGGCCAAGCATCCGAGAGGGAACCACTGAAAGTTTTCCTCCAGAAGTTATTTGGACTAGAAAGAAAAATACAAAGAGCTCGATGCATCTGCCCTTTAAAATGGTCCCGTGAAAAGGTTACTCGCCGGCTGCAGTTCCAGGGCTTGTCCAGCATGGAGAGGTTTGGGCTCTGCCCTGTCCCGATGTCCTTCATGGTTCCAGGCCCATCTTCAACTGATAAGTCCATCGCCAAATGACCATGCCCTAGAAGACATGGCAGGATGGTGGCAGGGCTCCTTTCTAAGACCAGCTGCCCAGACAAATGAGTGGAGGGGGGAGGAAAGGGGACATCGAATGATGGCACCCCAGGGAGAAGGAGCTGACAATTGACTGGGCCTCTCTCTTTCCACAGAGAAAACGAGAATTGGAGAACTGTGCTCCTGCTCAAAGCAGATTATCATCAAATATTTCATTCTGACACAGTGCTATAATTTTAACATATAACCATAGTAACATTTACTAAGTTCTACTGAAAGAAATCAAAGGTTTTTCTCCTCCCCGTTTCAGTGAGGAGAGATAGAGAGACCTTTGATTATTATTTTTTTCTGGCATTGGTGCGGTGGAAATAATATATTTGTTCCAGGAATCATTTGTTTGTCTTTGCTTAAACAAATGGAAATGCTGTTTTTCCTTTCCCCTCTTTGTCTTTTGGTTGGACATTTTATAAAAGGTGCGCGGGGCGAGGGGAGTTAATTCCATGAAGCACTCTTATGAACGCATATTGCTTTTTTATTTTTATTTTCATTATTGCTTTCACAGCTTTGAGTTAAAATCTAGTAAATGTAAAGAGAGTAGAAGTTCAGGGTAAAAAAATATAACTTTAGTGATGAGTTGGCTTTAAAATATCCCTTTAAAATAATCCTGAATAATATTACAATCATTTTAGTAATGTGCTTTACTATTAATATACTGTACTGTTTATAAAATGGTTAAAGACGGGAGAGAGGGAGGGGGAGATATCTTGTCAAAAACAAACCAGCAATCTCAAATAATGCCCAAACACTGATACGCAATCCTGAACAGGATTTGCACCTCATCTGCTAGGACTATCTGTATAAATGGGGCATAGCATCCTCCCCTCGGTGTGGCTGAGGGGTCCCGTGTTAAACTGTGTAGATCGCATCATGACTTCTGTAAGCTGAGGACATATACCAGTCCAGTATCTGATTTTTAAAAAAATGTAAACAATGATATGCTTCAGTGGTTAGATGGCCTAGACATTGGTATTTGAACATAGATCTCTTTAACATTTATATTTTATTGCGCTTTACTAATCTAGATGAGAAGTTAATATATATTGCTAGTCCATGTACAATATGCCATATGCTAAATGAATAAAGTGACACACATAAATGCAGCTTGAGTACATCCTGGTATATTGGGGAGATGTGGCCTTAAATCTATGATTGAAGACAGTAGGTCTTGTGCAAAGATTTGGTTACAACATTATGATTAAAAGGACCATAAACCCACCCTGCAAAAGTGGTCTTTAGGAACCTGCAACGGATGGTCAGGACAGACAGTGAAGCTGAAATGGTTTCAAGAGGAGCCTTTCACACTTCTGAGAAAATAGGGCTGACCGGAAATTCTTCCCAAGCTAATATCTGAGATGATTCCTTGCACTGAAAGCGAGGAGTTCAGCCAAGGCAAGTGGCCCGTGGGCTCTTAAGAGCTTCTGCAGGTGGGAAGGAGGTGCCAGCTACCACCCTGTTTGTTTCATGCGGCATCCGTCGCTGCCTTGTATACACTCACTAAAGCCATTGCTGGCTTTGCTGTTCCTTGGCATCTTATAGAAAGAGAAAGAGTGGAGTCGGGGCCACGTGCAGAAGCCATACAAGCCATATGTACCATGGCCTCATTCAGCTTGTTATGAGGGTCAGGGCAGGACTCAGCAACTCCTTTCCCTAAGCAGTTTCTGCTCACAGGGTGGGGGAAATCTTCATACGCACAGTTCTGGGAATCTGTGTTTTTAAAATGCTGGATGTTTTTTTTCAGATTGGTTGGAGTTTAGCCACATATAAAAGATTTAATTTGTGTACAAGAATTCTATAGAAATTCAGACTCTGGGGTTTTGCCAGTATGGCGAATTCAGATTAATAATTAAATTACCATTTTTATTCAAGTGTAATATTATAATTTCATATCCACATTCAAGGACCCTATTATTAAGAGATTGCTTATGCATTATTTATCTATTTATCATTAAAAAGAGAGGCTTATAACAATCCCCCCCCCCAAAAAATAAACAATTAAAATGCTCTTAGTAAGCAGTAGAATATAACTATTCAATCAAAATTTCAAAAATGGTAAAATTAATTAGTCACCAGATGCTAAAAGTACTGAAAATTTTATTCCAAAGTAGCTGATGGTTGGATGGGTGGTTGGATGGGTGGTTGGATGGATGGATGGATGGATGGATGGATGGGTGGGTGGGTGGTTGGATGGATGGATTGGATGGGTGGGTGGTTAGATGGATGGATGGATGGATAGATGGATGGTTGGTTGCTTGGTTGGATGGTTGGTTGGTTGGATGGTTGGTTGGTTGGATGGTTGGTTGGTTGGATGGGTTGGTTCTCTGTCTGGGGAGTCAGTAACGGTCTGCTCTCTTTCTTTCTTAGGTGAGGAGGAAGAAAATATCAATGTGCTGATCCTCAGCTACCCCCAGTACTGCCGCTATCGCTCTATGCGGAAACGAATCCAGGGCAAGCCATCTTCAGTGCAAGCAGACCAGTTCGTCTTAGCCCTGGGAGGTGTTGCAGCCATCAGTCAAAGGTCCCAAATCCTCTACTGTCGAGACACATTTGAGCACCCCACACTTGTCGAAAATGAGAGTGTATGTGATGAATTTGGTAAGTCCCTTCACCTTTCCTTTTGTCTCAGGTTAAAAGGGTTTTCTGCAATAGCTCCCCAGTTTGGAAGGTGCAATTTAATCACAATGGCTGAGTGTTCACCTGGGGAAAAGTGATACTTTACTTGAGAAGCCAAGGAAGTGCCCAGAACTGTTAAGTCCTTATAGTTTGGCATCCACATCACTGGCAAACGCTCTTAGATAAGCAGCATGCTTGTTGGAGGATGGAGATGACATTGAAGAGAGCTTTGAAGGCAACGTGGTGTATTTTGTTATTAGGCACAACTGCGCTAGGCCTCATTCTTCCAGGTTTGCTTATACTTTGGAGTTTGCTGCAACTCCTTATTCTTCCATTGTATACCAGCGGAGAGATGCTGAGATGTTTCCTAGCTCAAGATGGCTCTGGCTTATTATCAGAATGTTAATCCTTGGTTTTAGAGCTCTTGAGTGATATGCTGTAGCCATTAAGCTCTAAACTGCTTGCTCTGAAGGAGACGCATGAGCTCCAGTGCCAGGTGTGTTCATGGCCACTGCAGAATGCATCAGTTGTGGTGCTCAGTTCTACAGAGACCCCATTGTTAATATGGGATGAGTGTTCGCTTCATCAGGTTCTACAGTTTGCAACCCCCAAATGTGTGGTGTAGAGTTTAGCTGGGCTGCACAAGGAGATATTTGCAGAGCATGTTTGTGAGAATGAAGCATCTCCCTATACAACATTAGAGCGGCAACATCTTTTGTGAGGTTCGCCTGGCTGTTTGGAAGGTTATCCCCAGCGGTCTCCAAGAACGTTCAGAAACGGGCGGTCTGCAGGTACTGGGCACCATGAATACAGGAAGAGCCCTTGGAGCACCTGGATGGGCTTTGCTAAGGATGCAGCTTTCGCATTTCCAAGAGAGGTCCTTCACCTCCTTTGTGAAGGCCCTCTTTGGCACACTTTGCACAACCAGCCCTTACAGACTTGTCCTTGTGAGTAGAAACACTTTTGGGAGGTTGACAGAAATGGTGGAGAGGCTTCTCTCCTTTGTCTTTCAGAGTTCTGTCTCTGGACCCTGCACAGGTTTAATTATTGCGATAGGCTATTTTTCTGAGTTCTCTTACCTGTGCTGCATAAATCAGTATTTATTTACCATGTCACTTTACAAATTAGATCACGTTCATAAATCTTTATAATGTGAACTGTTTTTATATGTTGGTGAAGACAAGGAGAAAATATATTTCTTATTCTGCTACCCGCTGCCCTGCTACCTATTCGAAAAGAACAGGTTTTCCAAGGCTCAGGATAAACAATGATTTTAAAAGGAGAATGTTTTGGAAGAAAGTGAGAAAATAAAGATGAAATCCCCCACCGTGATCAGTTCAGACTCAGAAGGAAAACTGCTCAGTCAGTTATGGGAGCTACAGAGCTCAGATACCTTCACGCAAGGAAGTCAGCCTTGGCTTTGGTAGAAAGGAAGACCTCAGGGCTGAACTGGTTGCGGGGATCCTTGGTGCTCTCTGAACTTGGTGGTTTTCTCGCAAACACGTCATGACCCAACTAGGGAACCTGATCAGTAAATGTGGGGTTTGCTGCCTGTTTATCTTGACTTAGATGGTGCCCACAGTCCAAAAGTTGTCAGTCCAAAAGTTATAAATCACAGCACAAAACCTGTGATTTAATGATAAATTAATTTAATCAAAATAAAATACCATTTTGATAATTGCTCCTATGCATGTAGTAACTTCCCCATACAACACGTTAAAAATTACAGTTTGGTAATGGCTTTTAGGCAGATTTCAGTTGAGATGGAGGGACCAGATTCCTGCAGAAGGTCGTTTCCCAAAGACAAGAGAGGATGCCCTATGCCTTCATAATCAGGAACCCAGAACAAGGCTGGGATGGAGGAGCTCTGGTACCAGGGACGAATTGCATAATGGAAAGAGGGCCAGAAAGTGGCTCTACCTGGCCTCTAGTTTCTCCCCTGCTTAATGCTGGCTTCCTAAGCCAGAATATCTCTCCCAAATAATTGCCAACCCATACTTGGAATCCTCCAGAAAAAAACCCATTGTGACCCATCTGTTCTGAAGATGTTTCTCCTCGTGTCATTTGTAATTTGAAAAAGGGACAGTCGAGGCTCGGATGCCAAGTCATCCACCTTCTTAAACCACCCACAAGGGTTGGCTGTGCTTGGACGGTGGGGAGGATTTGCACTGGCATAACTGGTATCAAATACACCATTTACTGGTAGTTGGTTGACCCGCTTATTGGCTGATCGTGCAAACTCTATCTCTCAGTTAGCTCACTTACTTGGGGATTTTGTAAATAGGCAATGTCTTTTTTTTTTTGAGGTTACAGTACAAAGACAAATATAGGGATCATGTTCAATTCCTGCTTCCAGAGCTATGGCAGAAAGTCAGAAATATTTAGGTAGTATCAAACTATATATGCAACCAATTAGCATACATTATTCAATATTAATAGGATCACAATCATTCCTTCTGCATCTGATAATCGCCATGAATAATGGTTCCAGAGAGCCAACCCTTTTTCTACCTTGCAGTGATGGTCCCCAACTATTACTGAATTAACTGCTTTGTGCAAATGATACCAAGGCGGGTCTGTAGGCCCCAGGGTAGTCATTGAGTTGGTGACTTTTCAGTTAGGTTTTGCAAGTGCAGAGTTGTATCCAGAGAACTATTTCAGCCGTGGCTTCTTTCCATGCTGTGACTCTTTGCCGTCTCTGTCAAGGAAATAAAAACGCAAGAGATATCCAATCTGAGGATGAGAGAGATCAGACCTGTGCGTGCTTTGATAAAAACTCAGAGGAAGGGCTTCAGATCATGGATGAGTTTGAAAAGAAGTTGCAGTGGCATTAAGGGGCCAAATTATAAAGTCCAATGCGATTTGGAAACTTCCTTCCAGATTCAACTGGGAGTCTAGAATGAAGTGTGACTTTGCACACGCAGCTGCCTTTAGGGGACGTGTGAAGGATAAAATTATTTGTGAAATTGGCACAGCCCTGGTGTCTAGTCAAGGTGGCATCTGGATTTGCTCTGAAACCAAGGACCACTTTGTGGGCAGAAGCCACCATTGACCTAAGCTGCACTTCCGCTATCCTAGACTGCAGGGGCTGAAGAGTACATGAGAGAGAAGTGGCAGGTCGCCCCCTCCTCTATAATCCCATCCACTATGATATAACTAGCATGTATTGTGTTAGTTTACATTAACTCCATATAGATGATGGTCACATGTACAAAATCGTGGCAGCTAAATATAAACCTAAGAATGGCCAAGAGAGAAGTCATGTGCTTTAGGAGTTCTGCTGCTTTCCAGTCAAATGTGCAAAGAAAAGAGCAACTTACAGGGGTGCAAGTGATGTTTCCGTCACATTTTTTCAAAAAGAGCTTCAATGCTTTTTCAGAGCAATAATTATGATAATGTTATGCCCCGGTTGGAATCTGATTCCAAGGGGGAGGCTGAGCAGTTGACAGGGAGTGGGAGTGTGGCTCTGGTGGCTGTGGAAGAAACTGGGGAAGGGCACAGTCTGGCTGGGCAGAGCAGGGGAGAGGTAGAGCAAGCGAGAGGGAATTCGGAGGAAGACCCAGGCCCACCCCCTCTTCATCCTAGGGCACGCAGGGAGGAACGGAGAAGGGAGCAACGTGAGTTGTGTGGCTTATGAGGGAGGAAAGGGCCCTGATTCTCTTAATTAGCTGCAGCTGGGAACACAGTGCTTTAAAAGGGCGTTTGTGCACAACACCTGGTTAGAAGCAAATTGTCTTTGCTTATCTTTTATTGTCGTGGCTTATCTGTGTTCCTGGCGTCTTCCCAACTGTGTGTGTTTGTTGACCTTTGAAGTCTGCAATTCCTTATCCTGCCCTGTCCAGTTAATTGCTGCAGCGTGGTTTGTGCGGATTTTTATTTACAGTTTGTATGTACTTTGTTTTCGGACTGAATTTCCTCCACTTAATGACTGTTCTTGGGAGAGTCAAACTTGATTTCATTGAGGGCCACATCACGGTTGGGTTTGACCTCAGGGGCTGGGGTGGACGTGGCCAGGGTGGACACGGCCAGCTCGATGTCACTCATGTCGGGGGCACATGTAGCGGCCCAAGCACTCTGCCAGCGAAAACATACCGTCTCGTGCAACTCTCTGCCAGCAAAAACGGAGCTCGGGAGGGCTGCGTTTTCGCTGGTAGAGGCACCGCAGGCCAGTCCTCCACTATCTCCAGGGCAGTCCCACAGGCCACATCTGCCCACCCACCCCCCGCCCGGACCTTGAGTTTGACATCCCTGGTCTATGCCATCTTTATGACTTTGGGCAGCCAGACAATATTCAGTAGGCTCTTTCGGAGAAGCAAAAGCGTATCAAGAAGAGATGCTCACAGAGAGATTGATTTGACAGGAAAGGAATGCAGCATCAGTCAAGATCCAGATTTTAAAAATTAAAGCTACATATTATTATAATATTTCTATTTAAAGCATCCTGCTCTGTGATGCAGAAATGTGTCAGCACTAACATACTACTAGGTAAAACGTCACTGTGGGCCTCTAATTCCCGAAGCCTGCATTTAATGATTAACGTATGGCACCACTTTATCTTCTGCAGACTCCGAGTAGTAGATACTCAGTATTAGTGGGGGTGGGTGGGTGGGGGAACTTTTTTTAACCAAGAATAAAAACCTTTATAGGACAACATCAACTTAATGTATCTGTTAGAAAGTCTCAGCCAAAATAAATGATGTTTCCATGAAGTTTTTGTTTTTGTTTTCCTTTTTCCTTTGTAATTAGACATTTTAACAAGAGCCGCGTTCTCTTCTAAACTGGGGAAGAGCAGGGCCTTCTTAAATATGGCAGGGGATTTTGGTTGCTTTCTTTCAAAAAAGCAACCAAAGCCCCGAGCCTTAATCCTCCACAGCATTATTACCATTAGTCTAATGTAATCATTAATCTTATATGGGCAATATTGATATTGCAATGAGGGTAAAAGCAATTTTTCTCTTTGTGGCCGCTCCTCAAAGAAATAG